AAATTCTTTGATGCAATTACATGGATTAATATTGGATTTTAATTACGAGATTTTTAATCTTCTTTCTGCAATTATTTGGATTTTGGTTTTGGATTGTAAATTACTAAACTGTTATGTATCGGTTGTAATTTACATGATTTTGGATTTAAATTGCTGAAATACTAAATACTCTTCTGCAATGGTAAGAATATTTGGTTTTGGACTGTAAATTACTGGCTTATTATTTATTGTAATTTACACGGATATGGAGGATTGTATGCACCGGTATGGGACGGTGACATACTAGGTATGGTTTAGCTCAAAGCGCTAATTCCTACCTTATGGATGTAATTGGTGAATAGTTTTACCTGTTCTATCAATTATATGGATTTTGTGGATTGTATGCGCCGGTATGGGACGGTGGCATACTAGGGACCGACTGATTCAAAATACTCAGTCCAACCTATTTTGGAATAAGGGCACGGGTTATTAAATAAAATCCTTCTTATATTTATGAGTTGGTGCGGTTGAATACGCCGAACGACTTACTGGATTTATTGTGGATGGTTAGGAACGGAGTTTAAATATAGTTTTATGATACCGCGATGTGAGCTTGAGTCTCAGCGTCGACGGTTAGGGTGCATATATGCAATAGGATGCGTAGCTGGCTGTGAGGGTTGAGGTATACCCTGTTTAGGTTCAGGTACTCATGCCCACCTATGGGTGCGTTTTCGCATGTTGCCTTCTATTCATGTTGAGACCCTCTTCATAGCCCAGTGAAAGTCTTGTAGTGTGAATATACATATGTACGGACTATTAGCTGTAGTTGAGTTGGTTAGAATGTATATGCGTATCGAGTCTCTGCTTGGATTGTAGTAGATTAGAACTTGTTCGTGGGCTTGACCCACTACTATTTTTCAGGTACTCATCAGTTCCAGACTTAGACTTGTTCGTACTGAGCAGAGACGGTCACTCACTCTACCGACGATGTAGGAGTATTCCTCATGGTTTAGCATTGGATTTCTTTTCAATTATTCATTTTTCAGTATTGGATTTTTAGTAAGGGTCCACGAGTTGGATTCCCGAGTTGTATTAGAAGTGGAGAAGAAGTTGGATGTATCAAACTAGTTCTTATTTATAAAATTTTTATTTCTGAGGATTTTCAATAAATGATATTCGTTTTAGTTTCTTTTCAGCAAAATTTTTATTCGTTCCTATTATATTAATTGTATTCTGTGTTCGTTAATTGCTAATTGGTTTGATGTCCTCGGGTAATCGGACATGGGCCTGGCCAACCCGCATCCGGAAATCCGGGAGTATCACAGGTATTCTTCCCCTTGGTACTATTTTTGGTACCCTTGGGTACTCTGCCCCTGTGTACTATTTTTGGTATTCTTGTGTACTCTTCCCTTGGTAAGGGAATAAATTGTATGAGCTTCACTCAGATCGTCACTTATTTAATAAGGGAATTAAATTTTACGAGCTTTACTCAGCTCGTCCCTTTAGTAAGGAATTTTTATTTATTATACCTCATAGTAAGGGGATATTGATTACAGGATTCATTCAGCCCGGATCCTTGTAGTACTGGACATTTATTTACCATCCCTTATAGTATGGGATTATTAATCGCGGGATTCATTCAACCTGGGTCCTTGTAGTACAAGACATTTATTTGTTATCCCTTATAGTACGGGGATATTAATTATGGGATTCATTCAACCCGGGTCCTTGTAGTACATGACATTTATTTACTATCCCTTATTGTACGGGGATATTAATTACGAGATTCATTCAGCCCAGGTCCTTGTAGTACAAGATATTTATTTATTATCCCTTATAGTACGAGGATATTAATTACGGGATTCATTCTGCCCGGGTCCTTTTAATACAAGACACTCATTATCATCCCTTGTATCCATATAGTAAGGGAATTAGATTTTTGTCAAGCGTCGGGAATGCCAAGTCCTACTGAGCTAAGCATGTTTGATGATTACTTTCTTGCCCCTTTTAATAAGGGGAGTGGATTTGCTCGAGCTTTGTGAGCTCTACTTTTAATAAGGGAGTAGTTAACCTGTCGTCTCTTTACCGAGGGAAGAAGATGAAATTGACCCTTCGTTCCTTTATGGGAAAAGAGGTGCAGTCTGAAGGAGGATGACCCCTTTAATACAAGAGGTAGTCGTCTCGTCTTTCTAGTAAATGAAGGAAACTTTAATTATCTCACCCTTCTGTGTGGAAGGAGTAGTCGGCTTTTTGTCCCTTTAATGAGGGAAGAATGTGTTGTTTGCCTCTCGTCCTAGATGACTAGTGCCATCGAGGGGTCGCTAAAGGAGAGAGATTAGAAACCCGACTAGCTCGATGTACCAAGGTTGGTACGTCAATCTTCTAGACCTTGTCATCATATGTAGATCGACGATTGATATCGTGTAATCCACTATTCTACCCCCGATGGTGAGATATTGGGTGATGACCCATTCTATAGACGTTTATACAGTGGACAGGGTACCTGGTGCTGCAACAATTTACGGTTGTCTAAAAATATTAAATTGTGTTAGAAATGATTATTGAAAATTAACCTGCCATGGATTATCAATCCAAAATTCTGTATAATCTGAAGTCGATAAGTAATTCCTGCAAAGGAAGAGAGGTGACGACTGTCGTCTGGTAGGTGAAGGCTTGGTGTCCAGCGATTAGTGTGATGGGGGCGTGGTACCCAACGGCTGACAGATGATGGTCTGGTGGCCAGTACCTCGTTAGGTCCAATGATCGCCCTTCACGTAAGAACCTCCTTGAGAATACAGACCTCATGGGATCTGGAGGGACATTAGACCTTCTTGGACCTGAAGGCCTCGATACATTCTTGGGTGTAGAAGGCCATCCTGATTACACGAACAGACGGAGTAATGAAACTCTGTTGCTAGAGACATCCTCAGTGGTAGAGGCTTTACTAGTAGGTAGAAACCCCCTTGTTGGTAGTGATCCTCTTGAGGGGTGGAGACCAACTCACTTATGTAGACGCAGAAGGACCAGGCCTTAGTCTTCAACGTTAGGCCTTGGTAGTTGGCTGCTGCCAGATATGAGATAGAGTTTGGTCTTAAACGACCAAACCTCAGTAGTAAGGGGACCAAGCATCGCTAAATGGAAAACACCACATTGGACTGCCTCGGTCGACGTGCCAAATTTTGATTATTGTCATCGTACACTGGGTGACATCACGCAACCCACCGTTTTGCCCCCAATATGATATAAGGGTAATCATAATGTAGAGACCCGTCCTTATATTAGAACATAGAAACCCGTTGTCAACTGATGACTTTGGGATGGTTTCCATGATCGAAAACTTTTGTCTTGCCGTCCGAGCCAAGTCCTGTTAGGATTATTATTTCTTCAGAGAACTAATCGGTTCCCACAGATGGCGCCAGTTGTTGATGCAAAAATTCTCGCGACTCAGAACGACGGCGTTTACCTGCAAAACAAAGGGAGGTCACCTCGAATAACACCGGTGGGGTGCCAGCCCAGGACCATCCGACGATCAAGTTAGTACTTGTAATCGTATCCCATAATCATTATGTAATATTCTGTTTAATAGTTTTTTCTCGTACCTTATTCTCGAGTCATCTTTCTATTTATCGTCACTTCCCTTATTCTTGATAAGGGAATATCATAATCCTTATCTCATGGAACTTATCACATGGAAATCTTATCCTTGATAAGATTTGTCATTATCCCATGGAATGTATCCAATAGAAATCGTTATCCTTGATAACGAAATATTATCTTTCAGAAGTAGAAGAGATTTGGCGACTGGTCAACACTTAGTTGCCTCTATTATTAGGTCAATATAGGTTAGGTTTATTTTTCCCTATCAGTTAGTATGGCTGCATGAGAAACCCTGGTGAATATTTCTACTTAAATTTGTTTTAGTTCAACAACAGAGCATTGAGGAAGATTTGGAACATCTTGTTTCTAATACTCATAATATGCAATTCTAAGCATTTATCAATAATTAAGCAGTCTTGCACAATCTAGGGCAAAAGGTTCTTATACAATACCTTTCCGGGGAAACAGGCAAGGGAGGACACAAGGGTGGGCTGTAGCCCACCCCAAAAAAAAAATTTTTTTTTTTTACTATACTAATATATCAGCCCAGTCCAAAAAAAAAAAAAAAAAAAAAAGTTAATAGTACTAGCCCACTCCAAAAACCTAATGAAGCCCAACTTCAACTCAGATACCATAATAAAAGAAAGGCCTAAACTAAATAACCCCGTGATGGGTACCAGAAAAAAAAAATTAAAAAAATAATAAAAACTTAGGGCAAATCATTTCACGCTTTACACTTTACAGCCTCCCACAGTCCCGGCCACCACTGTCCCACATTTGGCACTTCAGCTCCTTCAGACTTCAGTCCTTCAGATTTTAATTTTTTGTGCAAATCATTTCATATTTTAGGCTTTCCTTTTCAGCCTCCCATGGTCCTACGATCCTACCCAAAAAATTGGAATTACTTTCTTGATTCATCACTGTGCACGATCAATTGATAATTTGATATTCAAGGTAACTCAATGACTCATAATTCATTTCTTCAATTATTCCACGTATATATATATATATATATATTATGCCATATTTTTTCTTAACAAAATTACTTAATATAGGGTTTAGTTAATTGATTGATATTTTTTGATTTAGGTAAATTACTTAAAAGTCAACAAATTGAATTGAATCACACAATTTCTAATTGGATCTCCTTTTGCAGAAATTGTTGAAGGCCAACAAATTGGAATTGCTTTCAATCTTTAATCACTTCAGAGTTCAGACTCTATAAAACACAAGTGCACAACAAATTGGATTAATTGATATTTAAAGTAAGTCATTTCTTTAATTATTCAAAATATATATATATATATATATATATATATATTATTCCAAATTTTTTCTTAATAAAATTACTTAATATAGGGTTTGGTGGATTTAGCGGTTGGAAGAAAGTTAATGATGGAAAAAATTGTGTATTCTTGAAACACATGGGACTTCAATCATCACCACATACAAAATGTGCCATGCTATATGGGAATTTCAAGAAATCGGCACAACATATTGATAAAATGTTGAATGCCCAATCAAAAGAGGAGGTTTTGAATAATCGAATGCGGCTTAAAGCAACTATTGAAATTGTTCGCTTGCTAGCATTGCAAGGAATTGGTTTTAGAGGCCATGATGAAAGTTCAAGTTCATTGAATCGTGGGAATTTTATTGAAGTGTTAAAGTGCAAAGCGGAAGGAAATGATGAACTTTCAAGTTTTATCTTAAACAATGTTCCACAAAATGCCCAATACATTGCTCCATCAATTCAAAAAGAGGTTATTCATATTCTTGCAAATAGAGTGAGAAAAATGATTTGTGATGAAATTGCGGGAGGTAAATATTGTATTCTTGTTGATGAAACACAAGATGAGTCTAATACAGAGCAATTGGCTCTTGTTTTAAGATATGTCAAGCATGATGGCTTACTAATGGAATGCTTTTTTGCCATTGTGGGAGTTGAAAACACATCAGCAGTTACGCTTAAGGATGCAATATGTGTTATTCTTGGTCGGTTTGATCTTTCAATTCAAAATTTGAGAGGTCAAGGGTACGATGGTGCTAGTAATATGCGCGGTGAATGGAATGGACTACAAGCATTATTTCTTAAAGATTGCCCATTTGCTTATTATGTCCACTATTTTGCTCATCGATTACAACTAGCATTAGTTGCAGCAGCAAAAGATGAGACGAATATTTGGCAATTCTTCTCTCACCTAACTTGTATTGTCAATCTTGTTGCTTCTTCTCCTAATCGTCTTGCTGAATTAAAATATTTTCAAAGGGATGAGATTGCATGTATGTTGAGCACATGTGAACGTGAATCTGGTAAAAGGGCTAATCAGATTGGCACCTTGCATCGAGCTGGAGCTACTCGTTGGAGCTCACATTATGATTCTGTGAAGGATTTGATTGATGTGTATAATGCATCTTGCAGAGTTGTTGAAAGTCTTAGAAATGGTGGACAAAGTCAACAAATACGTGGGCAAGCTTCAGGTTTTACAAGGTAATGAGAAGCTTTGAATTCATATTTATTTTACACCTAATGGATAACATTATGGGATTCATTGACACACTTTGTCAAGCCTTGCAATGCAAATCTCAAGACATTCTTAATGCTTTGAAATTAGTCTCATCAACTAAAAATCTCCTTCAAAAATTCAGAAAAGACGATTGGGATATTTTTCTTGCCAATGTGGTGTCATTTTGCAATCGACATAACATTGATATACCTGATTTGAGTTCTCGATCATATTACAGTTTAGCATCATTATCACTTTGACATTTTCAACTCTGCAATAGATTTACAGTTGATAGAGTTAGAACATAGATTCAACAATGCAGTAGTGGAACTTCTTACTCTTAGCTCGGCTTTGGATCCTAGTGATTCTTTTAAATCTTTTAACGTGGAAAAGATATGCAATCTTGCTGAGAAATTCTATCCTTGGGACTTCACTAGCCAAGATGTTAAAACATTGAAGTTTCAATTGATGCACTATCAACTTGATGTATCTAGTGATCTCGAGTTTCAGAATATTTCTTCTCTTACTGATTTAAGTCGGGAACTAGTTGTAAGCAAGAAGTTTGCGTACTACCCTTTGGTTGACAGATTGATTCGTCTTGTGTTGACTCTTCCTGTTCCTACAACAACTATGGAGAGAGCATTTTCAGGCATGAAACGTGTTAAAACATCGACGCGTAGCAGGATTGGAGATAAATTTCTTGCTGACTGCATGACCATCAATCTTAAACGAGAGTTTGTTTGGAAAATTGACTTGGAATCTGTTATTGATGAATTCGAGTCTTTAAAGACTCGTCGAGCACAACTTAGATAGATATTTTGTAATATTTGAATTTAAATATTTAAATATTAAAATATTTATCTATGTTATGTTTTTTTGTTTTTTTTTTGGCTTAAGAAATTTTGTTATTAAATTTATATTTAATATTAGCCCACCCCAATGAGAAATCCTGGATCCGCCCTTGGAAACAGGTACATCCAACTTACAAGCTTCTGCATTTCAACTCACATTCCAAACTATCTATATCAAAATTGTGCTTAGCGTGGTCATGGATCCAATGGCTGAAGTTATACACTTCAACGAAAACAATAATTAGATGACTTGTAGAAGGATTTGATGCAGGGAAGGGTCAATAATATAAGAGTGCCTACACAAATTCGATAAACTTACAAAAGCCCCCACTGACATAGTGCCCAGGTAAGGCATATTTGATTCGAAGGCAAAGAAGTGACTTTGTCGCACTAAAGGCCATGCAATTTAAGATGACCCGGTTGTCCACTTCAATAGTAATGTGATTCCATTGTCAAAGCATAAGGATAAAATAAAATAAAATAAAACTAAAGAATAATGACGAAAATGACTCCCAAAAGTTAGTAAACGTAACTACCAGGAATTTAAGGAATATATATGCTCACCAGCTATATAACAGCAAGGGAGCTGCTGTTTGTTGTTTTCAGCAGAATGCGGGTAGTCAATGTGTTGTTCTCAGTAGGGATGAGGACATCACCTTTTTGTCGCCATGGTGGGGCACTTTGTGTAACAAGTGTAAGAAAAGCCAAAGCTTCATCCTGACTCTATGGGAATTGTTAGTTCCCATGATATGCTTCTTCAAACCAATTTTGTGCCTTCAGAAGCTTTCCAAAAATTTAATTGTCTAAATCAAGCTCTCTATTTACCACATAGCATTAAGTTCTATATGTTGAAGTTATGCATAAAAGTACGAGTGACCAATTATGCAAGTGGAAACTCTAGATGCTGGCTGGTCCCTGTAAAATTTCCATAGAATCTAATAGATACAAGCAAGTGTAATTGAGAAGCATGGAGCATAGAAGTATGTAACTGATGCGTCAATCTCTGTTTTTCCCATAATCAGTCACTCGAAATGATCATTGTGGACACAAGTCAAACTGATCCATAGGGCTATGCAATTTCTTTTACAAAGTTTGTTAAGAGGAAGCTACCTTCATGTGGCTTTCAAAGTGAGAAACCTTTCAGTCACAAAGTGACAAGGGACTAAATAAGGTTGAATCACCCTACTCTTTTTTAAAAGCTCATCAGTGCAAGAGAATTAGCCTGGTATACAGAGTTTGAATACTCAACAATCAATGTGAAATACAGTTGTCATTCCAAAGGTCTCGAGCCTGCCAAACCTTTGGACATCCTGAGAATAAAATTAGAAGTTAAATTTCATTCACTGAAACTGATGGAGAAATGTCAAAAAGGAAATTTTATTTTCTATTTTTGTTTATCAGACAGGTTTCCACGCGAACTATCAGTCTATCACAATTCCAAATACCAAGATCTAGAAGAAGGTTCAATCTTAATGACCCATTTAAATGCTCATTCACATGTTTCTTGTAGATGTAGACTGCAATTTGCTATATATCACATTTAAGAGAGGCCACATGCATAAAATAATCCTGGAAAAAGATACAAAATCTTCCAGCTTCATCAATCTGCACACACAAAAAAGATGGTGAAAAATTCATAATTTAAACTAAAAAGAGATGCCTTGAAAACTGTAAGGGTGAAAATAGGGTTCTAAATGTTCCTGCTATCACTGAAAATTTCAATTATACACTACTTTCGTATCAAAAAAGGTATCACATAATTCAATCAATAATGCACTAATTTTATGGGATTCAAGTTCATGATTGGCTTCAAGAGAATGACCTTTCCACCTCCATGGATGTTTCAACTGAAAGAAGATACTTGAGCAGAATTATCTTTCAAGCGTAGTGACAGACACAACAAACTCTTAATGTATGAATTCCAAGTGATTAAAAATCAATAAATAAAATAAGAGGAATAGTTTGTCCATAATGTTAGATAAGCTTTATAAATTAATATTACTGTGACATAAGCCATGTAATTGCTTTGCCAGAGACTGAAGGCCTTCCTTGGAGCAATGGTAACAGCAACTGCAAGGGATTTATCTTAGCCACTTTGCTTCACCAAGTCCCACCTGAACAACCAACGAGTTCCATGCTGGTGTGAAGGTTAAATGTTTACAAAACTTTTTAAAAAAATTGAATTGAATTGATTAGATACCATTATGCTTGATGAGACAATGAAAACATCATACTAAAGCCCTGCTTATTTTAGGGTTCACACCTGTATATCGTGCAAGCAATCGTCCTCCAGAAATTAAAATCTAGTATTAGCTAGAAAGAGCTTCCAAAGCTTACAAAAGTTCAATGATAAGAAAACTAAACAGAAGATTTAAAGAACAAAAGAAAAGGTAAAAACAGTAACAGTATTAGCACTTTCATGATTTCAATTTAGTATTTGATATAATGGTTGGTTTGGTTATACATTCTTCAATGGAAGGATGTGCAGCAATTACTGCTAATTATTTTCCTTGTAATGTGTAATTACATTTTAAGGAAATTCAGCAAACATTAATTGAGCTTTCAACAATTCGCTCTGTCCCAAACCTGAACATTGACTCAACTATCAAGCCATTACCTCGATATCTAAGTAACAAGGACACTATTTGTTTTTAATTTTTTAATAACACTAACAAGGACACTATTAGTCCTTCAACTTTTTGCAATGTCAGATACCTATTATCCTGATGGAACTTACACCCATGCATTGCATTTCAGTTTCTTAAGTAGTCAAATATTAGATAATTTGTATGACCTTTGAGTCAGTGTCTTACAGCCATATATAATATTATCTAATCGACATTCACATTACTCTATTTATACCTTATAAACTTGGAGACACTATAAAGCTATGTTGCACCTCAAACCAGCAGTACAACACACTAAGAACTCCAAGTGTTGGCAAATCTGGCAAAAATGGGAAAAAAGAAAAAGAAATAAAAAAGATCTTAAGATGCTCCCAGTTGAAAGAGTTGACAAAAAAAAGAGCACTGGTGTAACTGTGTAAGCAAATGCAAGCACATGGTTATTCAAATAAACCAATTAAAAGAAGAAAAAAATGAATATAGTCTTGATTTATGGAGATCAAACTTCCGTTATTAGAATTTACAGGGGCAACTTAGAAAAATTCTGAAACAGTTCACCCTGAAAAGATTAATCTAAATATGGAGACAACACAGAGAATAATTTGAAGGGCCAATTTGCATATAGAGGTACATCGGATGGCCACTTCCCTCTAGAAAATTATGCATACAGATTCAACTCCAAGCACCCACTATATGTGACTCCATTATGGAAAATCTCTGTAGAAGTTTTCAATTTGATATTGGTCATGATATTGTACATACGGTCCATCAAGAAAGGCACTACAGGCAAAGGGTATAAGAAGAACAAACTAATCAGCAGTCCCTAGTAAGTTGTAAGAGTCGCCTTATCTTACAAACCAGAAACACCAGTTTACATTCACGAACGATCATTTGGACCTGTGAGTTTCTCATTCTGCAGATACTTCGTCACTCCATACACAACTGTTCCAGCAACAAAAAGGAAGACTGTTGGGGTAAAAGATGGGTACAGATACTTCACAAAGAATTTGTCCCACTCTTCCGGTAAGAGGCCTGTAAACATAAGATCTCTTATTGGTTACAATTTGGAAGCAATAAACATCTTAACTACCATATATGAAACAAGATTCATTTGCCAGCCCTTTTTTTTTTTTATTTATTTCAAATCTACTCCTTGTCTTAAGGAACATGCTAGACTAAAAACTACATTTGTCAATGATGGGGAGATGGCGAGGGTAGGAAAAAACAACTATACATACTACCAATCCAAGTATATCAACAATTTACTGAGAATTTTATGCTTCAAAGGGGTGGCCATATCCATAGCCACAAATTGAGGTTGTGGTTGTGGTGGACACAACTTGAAAAGTAGAACAAGAAGCATTTTTTAAACATATGGGTATAGGAAGTAGGACGCATTTTCCAAATGTTCGGTTTCCATGCACACTATATATTCAATAATTTTATTAAAAGATGATATCATTTGGGAAATAGCAAAACTGTTCTTCCTCAAAACCGAATGGTAATGCAAGTTTTTTTTTTTTTTGGCAAGTACTTCACACACCCAATTTTGTCACCGGCAAGACTTAAACCCTCTACCTTCCACTTTGGCGGTGAGTGTTAATGTAAGTTGATTAGCAGAGTTTACTTAAATAATCGTGTTAATGAGTTGGAGACAAGCCAAATAATTACATTGAAAGATGGATCAGGTAATTCTCATACTTGCTAACTTCTTAAATAGGGTATGCCCTTATCTATAAATGTTTATTCATATGAAATAAATCCATTGTTATAAAAATTTTGAATGGTATTGAAAGACGGAATCCCGGTTATAGAACAAATCAATAACTAATCAACATCATTTTAACAGACACTTAAAAATCCCTGTGATCATTGATCAATCAAGTACTTTTCATAAAAGTAAACACAAAATTGAACATAAATAGTTCAAATAAAATTTGGAAATTATACCTGAAGCAGCAAGAACAATGCCCTCGATCAGAATAATCGAACCGAGCACTAACCAAGCAAGAAGAAAAGCACTCTCATTCCTGCCCTGCTCCTTGGATTGAGCCTCTTCTTGTGGCGATGGCGAAACAAACCCGGGTTTTTCCACCGGTGATCGGCGAATTACGGATGCCCTCTCTCTCCTACCTTTCTGTTTCTTCTTGGTACTAGCTGGGTCTGGGATTGATTTGGCAGAAGATGAAGACGAAGATGAAGATGAGCCAAACCCTAGGCCGGATGAGCTGGGCTTCAGAGTGGATGACGTGTCGTCGGCTGGTTGGCTGGTGATGGTTGGTTTTGGAGGTTGTGTGGTGGAGTCTTGAGATTTGATGGATAAGAGTGAGGGTTTGGCTGGAGAGAGAAGGAGAGGTTTCGCGTGGAGAAGGAGATGGGGTTTCTTGGTAAGAAATGATGATGAGGAGTGGATTATGAGCGCCATTTTCGGTTTAGTTTGTTGGTGATAATCTGGCTCTCAAATTTTCTAAATTATCGATATGATTTCATTCCACTAGGGTGGATTGAAAAGGTTGAAAATGCTCTGTTTTTTTTGTTACTTTTTGTTTTTATTTATTTATTTATTTTTAGGTGGATTTCAAATGGAACATTTATATCATAGCATTAAAATGCTTTTACAAATAGATAAAAATTAGTGTTTTCTTGGGACTTAAAGTTTAATTGAAAATGCTATACCATAAGTTTTATTATTTGTATTTCTTTCATTTAAACCGTGAACAAATCCTTATAGGAGATACCATGAAAAGAGAAAAAATTGTGACAAAGGCCACTAAGCTTTTTCCAAAAATTAATAGTAATATCATAATTTCTAGAAAAGTCATTTTTGAAAACAGTTTTTTCAAAATCTCCAACCTCGTGTCTATCAATTAAATGTCCAAATAAATTTTACAAAATTTTACTTTACTATTAATTTTTTTTGTTAATTTGTCAAGGGAGTCCTAACATGTCACTTTAAAATTCATTAAAGGCACTAACCCATTACACTGTAGAGACATCTAATACATGTAAACAATGACATAACACATAATAATATCACGTGTGATTTCACTTTATATATTTTTTTGGAAAGTTGTTTCACAATTTCACTATAGACATTTACACACAAATGTAACAAAATTTTTAATTTTATATTTATCAAAAAAATTGACACTATTAAATTTAATAGTATAGGTTAGAAGACTTTGTTTTATGTGCCACTATCGGAGTGCATTTCTCCACATCTACTTTTTTTTTTTTTTTTTTTCCTGTAATTATTTTATTTTATTTTATTTTATAGATATATATATATATATATATATATTGCGTCTCGGTAAGAATGGTTTCTCCAATTTTTCTCTTGATTGTCGACACAGCTTCAGTCGTTTCCATCTCCGCAATACTCAACCACAACTTCGCCTAATTTTCTCCTCCACAACCTCCCCTCTCTCTCTACAAGTAACCATGTAAAACCCCTAGATATTTACTGCATATAAAGGTTCTGTCAAGTTATTGACGGCGGTCGAGCTTCACTCAAACTCTAAACCTCCTCTTCTCTCATTATATCTCTCTTCCTTTATCGTTCATTCATGGCTCTTGTTGATTTCCAGCGCTTTCTCTCCCCCTTACCCTTCTCGCCAAACCCTACCAAGTATTTTCCAAGAAATCGATTCCACTCTTCTTCGTTTTCTGTCATAGTCAAAATGAAGGCCCGAGAGACAACAGAATCGAGTGCCGGAAAGAATGGCAGTGCGGCGGTTGTTTGGTTTAAGCACGACCTCAGGGTCGACGACCATCCAGGACTTGTCGCTGTGTCGCGTTATCGGACGGTTGTTCCTCTTTATGTCTTCGATCACCGGATTCTTTCGCGTTGGTTCTCTCTCTCTACCTCTCTGTTTAAAATCATAGATATGTTGTCTTAGGTTTTTATTAGTTGTTCTGGGTTTCAAATTTCTGTTGTTTGTTGCAACTGAAATATGGCATTTAATCTGTTGGCTTCAATTTGAATTAGGTATATGCATCACTAGAAACCTAAAATGTAATGTAAAATTGATTGCTGAAGGTTGAAAGGAAGTATTCTGATGGTATTAAGAGGACCCATGTGCTTAATTTATGAAATTGATTCAATTTTTCTGAAGAAAAATTTGAAAATTAAGATATGATAGTGATGAAAATGTTGATCCAAGTTTTAAAGAATTAAAGTTGTAACTTTTACCAATTTGAGTTCTTACAGATGAATCAAGTGGATATTACCATAATCTTTTGTTGGGAAGACCCCATAGGCATGCTTAAGCTCATTATGGTGAGAGATGAATCTTTGATTTCTTACTGTCTTTTGCCCTTTTGCCCATAGGGGATTGTGCCTGCCTTTTAGTGCGGAAGATTTAAACATTTAGGATGAAGTAGTGATACAAACAAACAACTGTAGTAGGTGGTGGAGCATACTGAAATTTTATATAAATTTAGGGAATTTATAAGAAGAATTTGAAAGTTTTTGGTAGGATCGGCTTAATCTTTTGACTATTTTATAATCACTATTTACACAAAGCCTAATTTTTAGGGGTTTTGAAAATTTTTGGGGGGCCATATCCTTATTATTTGTATACATGGAGATATCAAAGAAGCTTTTCAGTGGCCACTATTAAAAAATATTTATTCTATCCTAACACATTTATGCTTCTATATAATATGGGCCATTCTATTCTAGTATTGACCATGTATTTGTTAACAGATGAGGACATTAGTGTGCCCGATATGATTTTAGGATGAGATCACGTAAGTTGGTTCTCATTCTATAATGTGAAATTGTGAATTCGAGTATGTTGATTCTTGTCATATTGAATGCAGGCTTTTCTGATGAAATGCTTGAACTCGTCCTTTTTGCTGTGGAGGATTTAAGGAAGTCTATGAAGGACCAGGGTTCTGATCTGATGATCAGGTTCGGGAATGCAGAAAAGGTCATAGGAGAACTTGTAAAAGAGGTTGTTACATACTAGGTTTTCTTACTGCGATTTTAACTCGCCAGGCATGAGGTGAATATCAAGAACTCATCAACTCATTTTCTTACATTCATCACTGAGGATTGCAACAGGTGAAAGCTATCGATGTATTTGCAGAAGAAGAGGTAGAGTATGACTTGAGTATAATGATGGATCTTGTTAAAGAGACCTTAGCAACTGTTTCTTTTCCAGAGGGGAGCCCAAGAATTGTACAATGGACCACTCCACTATATGACATTAAGGTAACCTTATGTTGCATTTTGTCTTTTATATAGTCATCAGAATTCGTGTTATGACTCCTTGATGTGTGATTGGTTCATCACTTATTTTTGTCTCCAGAATTTGAATGACCTGCCAGCATCACACCATGACTTCAAGGAACTAAAAATCCCTGTAATTTCCCCAAATTTGCCCCCAAAATTACTTGATTTAGAGATGGATTTGACCTGGGGTAGGTTCCTAATGTCTTTATATTTCATAATGCTTGTCTTCATTTCTTTCAAATTTAGTTTGTCCTCTTCCAAAATTTTCAGGCATGGGAAAATGATAATTGTTTTGAATCAGGTTCTCTACCCACACTACATGATTTAAAGAAATTTATGAATGAAAATCTGGGAAAATTAGAAGATAATTGGTCTTCAATCAAGGAGGCTTCAGCTGAAACCATATTGGGAAAAGATGAGGTTGTGCAGCCAAATAACCTGATTGAAGTGTTGGGTTTATTAAAATCAGCAGAAAGCAATCAAAACAATTTGAATTACAAGTATGCCCGAAACAGAAGAACAGAAAAATCTGCATTCCCAACACAAAAAGGGAATATAGTTGGAGGTGGGACAAGTGCTGTATTGAATGCATTGGCTGCATATTTGAGGTACTTGGAGGGTACCGTCCGGGATGACTGGCAGGAGTATGTGGTGACTTGTTGATCTGAGCTTTATTTATTTAACTTTTTTTTTTTGTTTTTTTGCGGCTTTCCAATGAAAATTGGCATTTTATTGCATCTCCCCCCCCCCCAAAAAAAAAAAAAAAAAACGTGTTTGTTGCTAATCTGTCTCTGACCAACACTATTCCAAAGAATCATTTCATTCATCTTATATACATAGATACATAGTACATACATAGATACATATGGATGTATTTTTTGTTTGGTTTTGTAGTTTGTACTGATTAATTGAATGCTTTCAGCAAAATGACAGGCAAAAATAAGGTTGATGCCAATTGTATCACCTATGATGACTGTTTGCTTTGGTTACTGTAATTTTTTACTGTTCTTGTTCTTCTGATATTGAACTCTTTAGCCATCTTACTTTATATGGAAGATTTCCAGTCCAAAATGTTTGTTAAGCTTATTCGTTTGGTTGGCAGGTCTGCATTGTAAGAAAGCTGCAATTTTTTTATCCTTAGTTTTAAAAAAATTCATAGAATGACATTGTTTTCTTAGTCATTGGCGTTGTTAAATCACATGGGTCATCTTTCATGGCTATTTAAGCGACCAATTGGTGATTTAGTTGCTGTGATGGGTACCAGAACCACAATAGCAACTAAGGTTTGAGCATAAAGATGTGGTTATTTTCGTTTTTCTTTTGTCTCTTTTGGGGATGGGGTGGATTATGCTCTTTATTTTTTACTTGTTTATACTCTTATGCTTTATAGTTTTGATTCTTTGAAAGATGTAATCTAAATAATTATTAAAATATACATTTGAAATGGTGTTATTTTGGATTAATTCCATTACAGGGTACATGAAAAGTTACTCAGTGTTGAAAGTCGAGAAGGAGCTTCATTTGGTACCCTCTTTGGTCCTGCACTTTGTCTTGGGATCATATCTAGAAGAAGAGTGCATTATGAAGCTATCAAGTATGAGAAAGAACGAAATGCTGGATTTCTGTCTCCGTTTGGCTATTCAGCAGCCACTGTTACTGCAGCAGTTGATACTATTTGCTCAATGGAGGTATACGATTTTGACTATAGCTCCTTCATACTGGTGATGCACATTTTTTTTTTTTTTTTTTTGTGTATGCGTTAACGGAGGGTGTTCCCACCCCTTCGGGGGCAAGGCTTTTCCTTCAATACCTGAAACCACCTCCAAACCACAGGTTCCAATAAAGCCCTGCGTGGGGCCGGCCTTGATGTGATATGATAGTTTCAGAGTCCTTGATTTGAGGATTTGACATGTTTATACTGAATTTATTTTAACATTTAGCTGATTTTTTTTCTTTGGCAGTGGTATTGGCTAATGGCTTCAAAATGTCAATTAATTGTTGGAGGAACATACCCTATTCGGTTTTGGAGATGGAAAGGCAATTTGATTCAGGTGAGTGGTTGTGTTAGTCAAATGAGTGCACTCATTAATCTGGACAGGTTTAACAAAGCTTAAGTTCTAATTTTTCTATTGTAAATTCCACTTGCAAATTAATTTTTATTTTCCAGTATACAGTTGCTGGTCATGAAGGGCCTGCTATACTTCTCGTGCATGGTTTTGGTGCTTTTTTGGAGCATTATCGTGACAATATAAATGGTATAGCTGAAGGTGGTAACCAAGTTTGGGCCATCACACTTCTAGGATTTGGCAAATCAGAAAAGCCAAATGTTGTGTACACTGAGCTCATGTGGGCTGAATTGCTCAGAGATTTCATCATTGAAGTTGTGAGAGAACCAGTTCATCTTGTTGGAAACTCACTTGGTGGTATGTTCAATTTCCGAGTTGTATCTTTCTTAAATCTTATCATAAAGCCAAACCCCACCTCAACCCCTCATATACGCACGCACCCCTTTCAATGCACAACTTTGCAAAGATTTCTCTAATTAACTCATTATTATTATTATTATTGATTCCCAGGATATTTTGTTGCTATTGTTGCTGGTCTTTGGCCTGCTTTAGCCAAGTCTGTTGTCCTAATTAACAGCGCTGGCAATGTTGTCCCAGGCTATTCTTCTGTGCTGGTCTCTAAAGTAAGAGCTTAAAGATTATGCAAAAGCCCTTAACACCTACAGTATCCCTATAAAATATGCTGCCCGTGTCATTAAAATCTGCTATTTTTTATATCCAGCTGTTGCGAGTATACATGGCTTTTGAGTAGGTTCTTAACTGGAATTTTTTGGCAATCTATTTGACTCTATTTTATGGTTGCATTATCACTGTTTTATGGGCAAATTAAAATATTGAAAGAAATCATTCCTTTTTCAAGCATTTAGGATCCATTATAATTTTCTCTGGTTACCAGTAGGAGCCCTGTTATGTAATGAAAGGTGATTCAGAATTCGAGTTGACAGCTTAATCCTTTTTGCTGTTTAGGTTTTCCTGACATTGTGAATATTCTTTTTTGATTGTTCTAACATAAAGAACAACACAACTTTAACGTGTAACATCCCATTGTGGTGGTTGGATACATTTATGAAATGACACTGAATCAAGGAAATGAGTTTTAAATTCTTTTGGATGAAGCATGCATTAATTGATGAATGATCATATGAGATGGATGAGGTGTGCATGGCTTGCATTTATAGAGAACTTCTGTTAGAAATTAGAATGAGTTCATATTTGCTTCTCCATTGTCATCCAAGCTTGGGAGTAATGGGAGGTTTTCCATACATTCTCAGGATATAATATTCCATAGAACTGAAAGCTGTCCATGCGACTTGGTACTTGGAATGTCTCATAGCTAACAATCTATTTTGCTTCCCAAAAATCTCTCTCTGAAGATTGTCACTCTGTTAAGAGTTTCTTATATTCTAAACCTCTAATTTCATCAGCTAAAAGTCAATGTTTCATAATTATTTTGAACCTCTAATTTCATCAGCTAAAAGTCAATGTTTCATAAATATTTCAGGAAAGGAAAAGTTCAGTGGCTGCACGGTTAGGTGCGAGACTCCTTTTGTTCTACTTGAGGTTGATAATCAGTAACACAGTGAAGGACTGCTACCCCATTGTAAGTGTGCCCTTTGTAACAGTCTCCAACTTTACTAAATTGCTTTTGGTCATATATTGTTTTAACCACATTACCCTCTCCAGAAAAGGGAGAGAGCTGATGATTGGCTTATTAATGAAATGATAAGAGCAGTATCCTTCTTGTTATTGCAACGTTAATTACTTGTCTACATCAATCAATTCAACATCTCTGCAAGGCTCACAAATTAGATATACACACGCATCTCCTTAACAATTATTAGTCATATGATCCTGGTGTGGTAGTGGTTCTGGAAAGCATCTTTGGCTTCGATCTTTCAATTCCTCTCAACTATCTTCTGAAAGGATTTGAGAGAAAGGTTCTCGTTATACAGGTTAGATCTCCAGCTGTGGCAAAAAATAAGGATTGCTCTTTGTAAAGATTTATTCGTTAACCCCTTCCCCCCCCTCCCTTTTTTTTTTCGGTTTAATTGACTTTTTAACCATTAGGGATTGAAAGATCCACTCTCCGACTCCAAATCAAAGCTGGCTATGCTTAGGGAGCACTTCAAGGGAATTGTAATTAGAGAATTAGATGCCGGTAAGTCTGACACTTTGGTTGTTATCGCTTGAATTGTTTTACCTGCTAAAAGAATATTGCACATTTTCTTTAATCCAAATATTACCTTTTCTGAGGTGGTGGTTGATATTCACAGGCCATTGCCCTCATGATGAGCGGCCGGAAGAAGTGAATTCAATCATCCAGGAATGGGTAGTGACCGTGGAAAAGAAAATTCTTTGTGTTGAGAAATTGTTAGAAAGCAAGTAGGATCAATTCTTTTATTTGCCTTGAAAAGACCACCTACGATCTCCCCGAAGTGTACACAATTTAAGATTTTTGAATTCTAACTAGGATCTGAATGCGAAGGCCCCACGTTCAGATAGATCAATGTGAATATCTGATTCTTTTGTTAAATATTGTAAAGTATTGACCAAATTATTTGCTTTTTTCAATTATTTGCCTTTGTGGGGAAAAAAGTTCCAGTGCAGTGGCAAACTTTAAATAGAAAATGTGTGTGCATGTTGTGAATTTGCTAGAATTGCATTAGCAGCTAGCTCAGGGCGAGAGGTCTTGATATATTGGGTAGACCAGCCTATGACAAGAGGACTGAACACGCAAGAACCAAAGCATTACTGAATAACCTAAAGGCTTAGGGCTCTTATTCCACTCCATTGAGAATAAATGCAAAATAAGAACATTGGTATGCTTCACTTCTTCAGGAAACCTTGAGCGACTATATAATTGCTTTTTTAGATTTAATTATGGCAAAGGAGCATGGACATCCACTAATTGTAGGAGGAAGAAGTTGCTTAAATGATACTGTCAATTTATTGTTTCATCAACATGCTGTATTTACTTCCTTCAGTGATTGAGATTCTATGTCTTTATTGTTAATAATCATCATTGTGGCATTGAGCCAATTAACTACTGTCTCCGTTGTTTGATTTCTTAATATGGTCTCATTTTCATCTTGCACATCCACAGTCGAACATTGGTACGTTATTGTGACTTTTTTATTTTATCTTTTTTGCTTCGCAACCAATAATTTTTTGCCATTTGCATGTATTTTAACCACGTAAAAAAAAATTGCTTAACCACGTAAAAAAAAAAAATTGTGGCTATTTAAGCAATTTTTTTTTTCCTTTGTAAGCAAGCTGAGATTTAATTAAAATAACAAATCATATACAAAATTAACAGCGTAAGTGTGAGCATTAATTTGTGATCCACTTTTATATATTATGGGTACATTTTAGGTGAGGGTAGACATTTATAATGGTGGAGTAGAAGCTAATTTTTATTTTTTTGATAGTGATGAATGCTATAGTATATGCAGTATTAGAAGTTCATCTATTCCAATTGAAACCATTCCAATTAATTAACTTGGAAACTTCTAAGCTACCGACTTCGAGACTAATTTGTACACGATTGTATTCTTAAAAAGAAAAGATTGATAAACTAATAATAATAAATAAATAGAAGGAAAGAAAGGGCCAAAGGCCAACCAAAAGTCAAGTATATAATGTTCATGCCATGCATGCTGCATTGTCATAATCCTTTTCTAAGCTTGCGTGTTATAGTGTGACACAATGTAAGGATCCGAACTCCCTTAGCTAGCCTTCCGTGGTTTTCGTAATGTTTTTGTTGAAGAATAAAAAATAACATATCAAATTTATTCATACAAAATGAATAATACATTAACATGAATTAACAAAGCGAATAATACATCAAATTGAACAAGACATGAGTATAACAGTAATTCATAGAATTTAAACAGCACAAAATAAATTCAATAATACAATTAAGAAAAGATTAAATGACAATAGTAAAATAAGTAGAAAAGAACTGATATGGGTAATGAGAGGTATGCAAGCACTGTCTTAAAGTCGTATGGTCTTCTTATAAGCACGTCCAAGCGGATCATTACGGTTCAAAATATAATCCATATTCGTCAATAGCCTTTTATGAGCACGTCCAAGTAAAGGCAAGAGTGTATCAATCTTGTGTCAAAGTCGCCCCCAAAACCAATATGAAAATACTCTATAATTGTAATAGTATCTCAACAGTCAAGGAAGAATTAGAGATAAATTTTCTTAAAATAGGCTCACAGCTTCACACCCATACCACTCTAATGTATATCTCCCCAAGTATGATATGGAGCCCCTTTTTTTATATACTTCAAAATTGTAATTTTTATAGCCATTTAAATGTGAGAATTAAAAAAATAATAATAGTATATTATTAAATACACATTATTAGACAATATAATTATCTTAGTAATTTTATATTATTTATTATTTTATTAATTATTCCCAATAGTTTTCTCCATTCACAAGTTAATCAGTAGTACCATTGCCTCATTACGCTTTCCCTTGATGTGGGGTTTGACCGGTGATTAACCTAAATTTTTTTTAGTAGGTTGAATAATAACAAGATCAATTTTTAAATTTTTTTTTTTTTTTTAACTAAGATAATAAATTCAAAGGTAAAACATTTAACCCCCTTGACTTGAATTGTATTGTTATAAACTATTGCTGCTATTATTTTGAAAATGAAAATTGCAGTCTACTTTGAAAATCTCCCCTAATCCATTTAACACGAACCTCTTTTATTTATTTATTTCTAAGCTATAAGTTAATTCAATGACTAACTTGTCATCATAATCATACAATCTTTATAATATAAGAACATTACAACAATACTAATACAATAATAATAATAATAATAATAAAACCTAATGATATTGAATAAGTATCATTACTAACTTGCTTTTGGTTATAGACACTTCAAGGGAATTGGTTGTTATCACTTGAATTTGTTTTACCAGCCAAAAAAAAAATTCACATTTTCTTTAATCCAAATATTTCCTATTATGAGATGGTGGTTGTATTTCCTTCCTTCAGTCATTGAGATTCTATATTTTTGTTGTTAATAATGATCATTGTGGCATTGAGCAAATTAACTGTCTCCAATGTTTGATTTCTTAATATCTAAAATCCGTTGCATATGGCAATTTAAGAATATCTGTCATTAACATGTAACTATTTAACCACTTAACAAAAAATATATATATTTTGCTATTTAAGTTAAAAAAAAAAAAAAAAAGAAAAAAAAAATAATATATATATATATATATATATATATATATACATTCGGGATAAATTCATTTGTGACCCCACTTTTATATATTATGATTACATTTAGGTTAGCGATGAATGTCATAAATATGTGGGGTATAACCTCACTTTTATTTTTAGATAGTGATGAATGTTATAAGCCTATAATATTCATTTCTTTGGATTGAAGCCAATTAGAATTTATTAAAAATCAATTAAATTAGGCAACATCAAAACACATTAAACATATAATTAGTTCAGATCATCAATGGATAATTAAATGCCTTGTGTGATTGAATATTAAAAGCATGTTCATGAAATATAATTGATTTGAAATATAATTATGAAGTTTATTAGAATATATATTACTCTTATCGTGTTCAGTTGTTAATGAACTCCACCACCTCTATATAGGGCAATGCCTTAATAAATGGCTAAGATATGCACAAGTATTACCAATGCAATGGGAAAGTATTCTAAAATAATGTTCTAACTTCTACTGACTACTTTGTATAAATCTATATAAATTTAGATAACTCTATACAATTATAGAGAATTTCGGTAAGTCACACTTTTATTTTGAATGGAAACTACACAAACGATGGGCAAAAGGCTAATGAGAAGTCCAGAATGTTCATACCATCCAATGTCATGATTCACATGTAGAGGATCCGAACTCCATTGGCTTAGCATTTCGGTGGTTCTTCTCCATTCACACGCCTCTAAGCAATCCGTACCACTGACTTGTCCTTGATGTGGGGTCGGCCGGTGATTGACCTAGAATTTTTTTCAGTGGGGCCCACATTAAATAATAATAAGATTATTATTTTTTTGAATCAAGATAATGAATTCCAGGGTAAATTTTTTTTTTTATTTTTTTTTTATTTTTTTTTTTATTTTTAAGTTAAGATGTATTGTATAAATTGAGAGTAAAATGTACCAGGCCGAGGCCCAACAACAACAAAACAAGGGACTCATGAAAGAGTCCAGCCCAAAACAGGTATGTAAACCAAGCCCAGTCCACAGTTGACCAAGATAATTATAGTCTATGAACCTAGACTAATGTTATCTCTACCAACATTACATCCGGTGGCATTATTTAGAGAGGCAGAAGGGTAAATTGTTTTTAACCCCTATAATTTATAGCATGTTGCAGTAAATTCTCTTTAATTTTTAAGCCATTGCTGTTATTATTTTGAAAATGGAAATAACAGCTTACTTTCAAAATCTTTCAAAACTAATCCAATTAACACGAAACTCTTTTATTTATGAGTTATTAGGTCTTTATCAAATGACAGCTTACTTTTAAAATCTTTCAAAACTAATCCATTTAACACGCTTTTATTTATTTATTTATGAGTTATGGACTCTTTTATTCAATAACTAACTTGTGACTAGTTTATCTATGAATTTATGACACATTTGTCGGACTAAGCAAAATGTGAAACAATTTATGCACCATACATATTAAAAATGGCGTCTCATCAAAGATCATCTGATCGAGTTGATTGAATAAATCCAACCCTCTTTAATGTTATGGTATTATGTATTAATTGCTGGCTGCTATAGAAAATAGGGTTAGAGGGAGATCTGATAGAGAGTGTCCAAAGAAAGACACCAGACAACTGAGACAAGTAAACTCACAGTTCAAAACAACCCAACCTATGCCAATGTCATAACAAGCCCACACGATTTACCACTAATTGTTCACTGGTCAATGTATTATATGATTGGCTAAGAATTTGTCTCACACGAATTATGCATATGTGGAGTATCATTTTGGTATTTAACAATTTATGTTGACGACCGAAGCTCCATTTTTGTTGTTTTGGAAAATCACGAGAATTTTTGAAAATATGAACAATAAACAATTTTGAATCCAAAGTTGAAAAGATTTTTTTTTAAAAAAAAAAATCTGATATTTTATTAATAATTAAATAAATACATGAAATTTGGTCTCTACAATATCATAAAATAAAATAAAAATTTAAAAAAAAAATTATCAAAGAAACTAACTATTATTAAACTTTCTATAAAAAAAAATTATAAAAAGAAAAAATATATATTTAATAAAAAGTACTAAATATGATGAAAGCTGTCCTACATTAATTTTGATTTTCTTTTCGTTCACCCACATTTTATGAATTGTAGTATTGATCTAGATGATATTTCAGAGTTTGCATTATATGAAATAGATTTTATTAAATCCTTGATTTTATTTATTTTATTAAATTCTTATTTTTGTGTAATTTTGCGTCATACTTTAACTCCATTTAGTTCTACCGTTATTAAATTATGGGTGT